TTTTATTCTATGGCTTTTCTTGTGATCTTTTTGTCAACAAGCGCTTACTCCAGTAGTTTCCTTTTCAAGACATGGATCTAATTGGTTGCTTGGTTTTCCAACATAGACCCTTCAGTTCCATCAACCCTCTAGTTTTCATTTTGGTTTATGCCTTCTAAATCAAGAGGCAGTCCCAAAAAGCAAAATCCAAAAGCTAAAACCAAGGCTATACACTCAATGCAACTGGAGACAGCTGAGAAATTAGTGAAACCTGTCTGCCCTGTGTCTTTATACTTATGCTCACTTGAAATGGAGGGATTAAACACAACAAATTACATTGTCTAACATGGCTAAATACATATGCAAAGAAATACACAGCAACAAAGCCTGACATTCTATACCTTCTAAAATAATACTCATATTAGTAATACGCCAAAATGTTTCACATCGCTGTGCCAATACTTACACTTTTCACTGTACCTCAGACGTTCTATAATTTTTAGCAATTTAGTTCCATAATTTCAGGATGTGTTGAGACATTCACAACTCTTAAACATATTTTTTTTCCATGTATTCAAATCACATCACACTGTGAATTTGATACAAGGCTCTAAGCAAAGTTTCATCTTGATCAGTCTTTATAAGAGGCTGTAGTACAGTACAAAATACACTTTAAAGCCACTGCACGCTTCTAGCAATGATCAATTGCAATTATCAAGTGCAATATATTTATAATGTAAAATACAACTTTTTGTGTACTGTACTTTCGGGTCTGTTTTTGTATATTTTGCACTGTGAGCAACTCTGTATTATCCATTTTTTACTTTTTACTGCACTTCTCACTGACTGTACTGTATGTATTGTATTGTTGTATTAGTGTATCATTTCGTTACACTGTGCTAAGCTGCTGTTGCACTGCAATTTCCCTCACTGGATCAATAAAGTATCTATCTATCAATCCCATAATCACTACTCACTGCATCAGAGCTACTTATCTCTTGAGCATTCACGAAGGTAGGGTGCCCAGCTCCTTGGCCTATTGAGATCACACAGGAATCAAATCCCAGGTTCTGGCACTATAGTCTATATATTCACTATAGTGACTATAGTGAATATAGTCACTATTTTCACACTAACTAAGCCACCCAGACCTCCTAGTGAAATGTAGCAATAGTATTTAGTAACATAACACAAGTCTGACTTTCCATATTTTACCCATCCCATAAGTTTTTCCAGGTAATTTGAGCCGAACTACACCAGCTCCTCACATCACAACCGAGTCAGAACATGAACCAAAAAAAAAAGAAAAAAAAAGCATCAATGCATTGATTGAGATTAAGTCACTCACTTTCCCAAGTAACACCTTTAATGGTACAACTATAAAAATCTGTTTTTTCCATCTGCACCTTCCCAGAGAAAGTAAGAAAGATTGAAATTAATTTCAGTCGAACTTCCTGAACAAGCCTCACACAATCTTATTCATCTTCTTTAAATCAAATGGCTAGATGCTTTACTGCCAACCTTGCAACTCATTATATACTGTTTATAAAATCACATATTAAAACCTGTTAGGCTCAATTATCTTTTTAATTTAAATGGTATATAATTTTCCCAAGAAACATCAAGGTTTGAGAAAACAGTAGGCTTACTGACCAATAATTCTGCAGCAAGTACAGTTGTTTTTGAAGTAATATATCGTCTATAAAAATGTTTAAATTAGAGATAAATTAACTCAGATTGGATAACTGAGAATTTTTGCTTGGTTATTCTCCATGCTATTGAATTATATATGAGAGAATATGGAAGCTCTGTGTTTTGAGAAATAATGCTTTTGGAAAAAATACCACTGCTCCTGATGTATTAGAATAAATGCTATAGTGTGTTTTTTTTTCAAAGGTTGTGTCCAGAGAACTACACACTGAGGACATGGCTCAACAGCAACAGACTGTCTTTCACAATAATTCACTGGTAACAGTGGACAATGTCATATTTACAGTATGTGCCAAAACAAATTACTGGAACAGAAGCAGTGACTTAAAAGTGACAAATTGTTGCTAAAAGGTAGCGCCAGATAACACAAATGTCACTTGCTGCAGGAGTAACATGTAGAGAAAGTTTAGCATTGATAAAACAGGTTGATGGATCAGGTATCCCCATGGGATATCATACAACTCAGATTATAATGTGGTTAGGAATAATAGCCTAGGTGCAGCTACATCAACAAACTTTAGGCCAATTCCATTCTAAGACATATAACTTTTGCAAAGTCACATGATAACCTAAGAGCTTTAGATTTCTTTGAAGCACTCTCCTAATTAAGTCACTGATAACCAGCTGAAGTCTCGGCTCCTAATAGGAAGCCTCCTTCTCCTTCAAATATCTGATGTTTTGGGAGGGCCCTCAGCATGTAATTATAGTTAGCTTGGAAGACTGCATTCAGCAGGAAAGATCAAATGCACACTGCTTTTTTTGTGATTTCGGCAATTACACTCCTCAAGTAAACTTGTAGAAGACGCATAGTGCTGACTTCTTAGTAGCTCAACCTACAGAGTACAAACTGAGCCCTATACCCTGGTGTAGCTGGTTCACACCCAAGTCATGTTCTTACTCTACTGTGACTTTTATTCCCCAAGCAGAGCTCCTCTCCTGTGTGATGCTGCTGAACGTGCATGAAACAAAAGACAAACATCGCAGACAGGTGGTGGTGCCATGTCTGCAGGTCCTCGTTTTACCTACAGGCATACAGGACGACAGGTATAGCCATAAGCAACTCCAAACTGTGTGGGTATGTAGTAAAAAATGACTGGCAACTCCAAATTATGAATATAAAAAATAAGTGAAAAATTACTCAAACTTATTATGGATGAATGGATGATTTTATAGGTGGCATGATGGTGCAATGGTTAAGTCTGCTGCCTTGCAGTGCTGGGGCCCTGGGTTCAATTCGAGACCTGGGGTGCTATCTGTGTGGACTTTGTATGTTCTCCCCATTTTTGCATAGGTTTTTGCCAGGTTCCTCTCACAGTCCAGAGATATACTGGTAGGTTATTTTGTTTCTAATCAAGTCCTAAGGGGCGAGTGTGTCTGTGTGTGCCCTGCAATGGACTGGCAATGTGTCCATTGCTTGCTGGGATAGGCTCCAGCTCACCTGCTTGGAAGAAGTGATTAGAAAACAGATGGGTGGGTGGATGATTTTTTGTTGTTGTTATGGTTTACTAGAACTTAGTAAACCATTACAAAAAAAAATCATCCATTCATCACCGGAAAATGGCTTATTCCTGATAAGGGTAGGGAGAACTTGGAATCAGCCCCAAAACAGTGGGGGAAAGTCCATCACAAGGCACATTTACACAAGTAACTAGCAAACAAGGATATTTTACAATTACCAATCAACCTAGGGGTGGAATTTAGCATTGAAAGTTTATTTTAAGGATCTTTCGATGGAAACAGAATTTCTCGATTTGAAATTATAACAAAAAATTGAACTTAGTACAGTAGGTTGCTTACACTTATATAGCGCTTTTCTTGATACTCCACTCAAAGCACTTTACAGGTAATAGGGATCCCCTCCACCACCACCATGTGCAGCATCCACCAATGGCAGCCATAGTGCGCCAGAACGCTCACCACACATCAGCTATTAGTGGGGAGGAGAGCAGAGTAATGTAGCCAGTTCATAGAGGGGGATTATTAGGAGGCCATGATTGGTAAGGGCCAATGGGAAATTTGGCCAGGACACCGGGGTTACACTCCTACTCTTTTCGGGAAACGCCCTGGGATTTTTAATGACCACAGAGAGTCAGGACCTCGGTTTTATGTCTCATCCGAAGGACGGCGCCAATTGACAGTATAGTGTCCCCGTCACTATACTGGGGCATTAGGACCCACATGGACTGCAGGGTGAGCGCACCCTGCTGGCCTCACTAACACCTCTTCCAGCAGCAATCTTAGTTTTTCCCAGGAGGTCTCCCATCCAGGTACTGACCAGGCTCACAACTGCTTAGCTTCAGTGGGTTGCCAGTTGTGAGTTGCAGGGTGATATGGCTTCTGGCTATATACAGCTTATGCAGTTGCTGCTTTGATGTTTCAATTTTTCTTAATTGAAAATATGTTACTGCACTGGAACATTAATCTGTTGTAACTTGCCGAATGGCAGAGCTGCACATGCAAAAGTCAGTGTGTAATAAAGATTTCTTTTTTGGGGGGGAGGGTTCACTGTTCCTCTAAAAAACATCATTTAGTATAAATATAAGTCTGTAGATAACTCACATATGTATAGTATTAAAAACTATACATATTAATAACATTATTATCACCCTGTTGTTCAATAAGGAAGGAGCTTTGTATCTTGAACAAATACCTAATCCTAGCTGGAGACCAATGACAGTGATGTAATTTGGACAGTGCTTCAAGGGTGAGTTGCACATATATTTGCATATTTTTAAATTATCCAATACTGAGCTCCAGATTGTTAAAAACAGATAAGAACATGTGATTTCGTATCACATAAGATATGGTCTCTGCTTTTTTAGAAACTGAAAAGTAACTCAATTGTGTTATTTTTTTCTTCATTAGCAGTCACACATTCCTCTGTAATGTTTTCACACATACACTGCAGGATCAGAGCAAGAGATTGATGCTGTAGACACAGTTTGATGTCTTTTAAACTGCTGTTAGATCAGATCTTGTCTTTCCACATTTCAGAAGACATTTTGCAGTTGAACTGCTCCAAAAGCTTCATAACACTGCTGGAATCAAATGTCACAGCACATTATCATGCTGGTTTGCATTCTTACTTCAGGGTGATGTCAAGTCCAATAGCACAGATCATCTAAGTCCATATAAAGCAGACCGACCAGCCAGACTGACAATGAATTCTTCTCTTTAAAGAAGATAGTCCATATGAAGTTTGAATAAAATATTTCACTCCTCCTTTAAAGAGCCTGATATTCACACAACCTTTCAAGACTGACTGTTTCTCAGGTTGTCAGAAGCAGTTCAGGAAACGTGAGTAGGCCTACCTCTGAGTCATCTGTGGAGTCTTCACATGATTTTCTTCCCTGAAAGAAAAACAGTAAATAAGAACCAGTTTCCCTTTTTAAAGAACAGGGGCATTCAAGTGTAATAAAGCTGAGAGGGGCCCCGTTTCATCCTATCCCACAGTGACCTGCACAGAAATGTTCATTTCCACTTACAATTCAGTTTCTAAATGTAGTATTACTGTATAATGATAATAATAATATTATTATATTACTTAACATTAATGTAATATTATCATCCAGGTGGATGCTGCACATTGGTGGTGGTGGAGGGGAGTCCCCATTACCTGTAAAGCGCTTTGAGTGGTGTGTCCAGAAAAGCACTATATAAATAAAAGCAATTATTATTATTATTATTATTATTATAAACTAAAAATTAAATACTACCCAATACTAACATACAGTATATACTTTATAAAAATGTCTTTGGCATTTCAGGCTTTGAAAAATATGCTACACAAACATTCAATATTTGATTGCAGAATATTCGATACATTTATATTGAGTTAATACTAAGAATAATTCCTTGCAATTATATAGAGCTTTTCAACTCAGAAGATCTTAAACCTCTTCACAAACAGGAGGAGACTCACTACATCCTACATCTCAGTGCTGCACAAACCTGGGTGACAAATGCATCAGTAGCCCAAATACCCAAAAAATTAGATGGAGAAGTGAGCAATTGCTTCAGCAACTGAACTAAGGAGGAACTATAGGCAGGCCAGACTGAAGCAAGTACAGAGTGGAATGTAGGTAGGACATGGGCTAACACTCCTACTCATACAGACTGTGCTTTGGGATCACCAATGACCAGGCAGTCAGGATCTCCGTTTCACATCCCATCCAAAGGACAGCACCTCCAGTAGCACAGGGTCCCAATGGGACACTGGTGTGGAAATTCTGGTGCAGATGGAAGAGCGCCACCTACTGGTCCATAAGTACAGCAGCAAGTAAGGTCACCCATTGCTGTACTGACCGAGATCAAGCCCAACCTTGCTTTGGCTCTCAAATCTGACAAGACTGGCATTGCTGGTCACAAATTTTAAATGGGATGTCATAAAAACAAAACAATTTATAACTTATTTATTTATGAACTATCTAGCTCTGTTGAAGATAACTTAGAGTCTTAAGATAACCCTTCAAAACATTAACTAGAGAAAACCAAAAACTCTATTTTGGGCATTTATTTAGTGGTGCTAGAAGTGAAAAACAAAAAGGAACTGAAAACATTCTGACTGCAGTCTCGTATGATTTTCATCATAGTCCATAAATGAAAGTTCAGACATACTGTTACATTACTGTAACTAATGCTTCAAAAATGTTTTATTTTTTAGCTTATATATGAATCTAGAAGCAAGGAATAATTAAAAATTAAGACATGTTACTCCTCTCTTTCAGAGACACAGTGTCAAAATTTACCTTTTATATTTCTGTTTAAATCAGCAAATTGGGAAGTTTAAAAATGAGAGGAAGACATTTGGCCTGCCCACATCATTTAGTAGTTAGTAGTTAATTTATCCCTAAGTCCCATCCAGCTGTGTCTCTAAAGAAGCCATGGTACTGGCTTCAAGTAGAAAGTGGCTGGCCAGCTTGTTCCATTCTCTCACAAAGCTTTGTATAAAGAAATGCCTCCTGTTCTTGGTTTAACATACACTTCCACTTGTGTTCCCTGATTTGTGTTTCACTTAGGTCTTATGTTTCATAATATATTTAATAAAATGCAATATGAAAAATAAAATAACTAGAAGGATGCTTCCTGCTAATCCCTGTATCTTGATTTTACCTTAAATGTGTTAAATGTAATGGTGAAATAATAAAAAAATAAAGATTTCATACATCCATCCATTTTCTAATACAGGGTGATATCCTGGCAAGCAAAGGACACAAGGCAGGATACACCCTGGCTGGGACGCCAGTCCATAGCAGGGCACACATCAGGGCAAATTTTCCTGCCGGTATGTCTTTGGACTGTAGGAGGAAACCGGAGCACCAGGAGCAAAAACTCACATGAACAACTGTAACAAATCTGGAAGCTAATTAACAAACCTCAGGTACTATATGCATGTGCAGAACTGGGCATGGAAAAACTGACTTCCTTTGAGAACATGAGTTAATTGGGTAGTTCACATTAATTTGCCTTTTCCTTTCACCTCACTGAGTTTTTTCTTCATCCCTGTGATTTGTATTGCTGACAATTCGCTGATTATGGTTAACATTAGGCATGTCCATGCTATCTTATTATTCCATCCAAACAATTAAGTACGACTGATGATGACAAACACTAGTTTGTGCAGGTTTCGATTTCCGATTATCATTACATCCTCAAGCAGCCCTTATCTAAATCAGTTCTGCAAAGAATTCTAGCTTCTATATTTCACCTGAATTCATCATTACAAGGTAGAGCACAGGTCTAATGAGCCATTCTCCAGTGAAATGTGAAATATACAGTATTATGCTGTTTGTCTGAGGTTGTATAACTATATTAGTCCTGTAACACAAGTAGGAAAGCCAGAAATTTGTAAACACCCAGTGGCTGATTTATCTAGGACATTTCCGGTCCCCCTACAGCAGTATGACAACAGATAGGTCTTACATAAAAAGACAGGCCACTGCACGATTACAGATCTTGAACTGTCAAGAACTGTAGCGCGCTAATTCTTCGTTCAGCTACGCCATCTCGTAATTTACGTTAATTAATGTTCAGTGACTGACAGTAAATGTGAGCTAGGAAAAAAATGATTGTACAACATGCATTACATTGTCTCATTCGTGAAAAAAGCTTAGTCACTGGCTTAAGTAAATCGGGAATAAACTAATGTGTTATAAAATCATTAGATTAGTCCTAGTTTCTTCGAAAACCTCAGTGCATTTCAAATAGAAAATCAGAATAGACATCCTTGCTTCCTTCGAAAGTCTACCCTCTTTTATATGTCTGACTTGTTTTTCTTTCACCTTAAATACTCATCTTGTAAAAGCACACTTAATAGCCCAATCTACTTTCGAAAAGCTGACAGCTGTACACTGCATTTATATATTTGCTGTTTTACAGTACTCAGCACCAGATACCTACCTGCTCTTCTGCTTCCGCCATGATGCAGCTCTGTATCACATGACAAAAACAGGAAGCAGTTTGCGAAGCTCTCTGGGATGTGTAGTTTTCTCAGAGCGCGCACCGTGCCGTCTCGCTTTTACATCCTGACATTTAAACATGTTTCAGCGCGATGTCTTCTGAGTGGTTCGCTGGCATCACCAGTGTAAGCAACTATGGAGAAAGAAACTTATTCGTTTTATTCACGTGCAAAATCAAATAACAAGTCACAATTTCTGATTTCAATTAGTTATTTTTTTAACATGGGAAAATTGATTAATACGTAGACCACCCTTACGTTTTTAAAATAAATTGTCAACGCAAATCACAATTAAAATATACGTTTACTATTTTGTTTATATTGGTCAATAATAATAGTACTAAGAATAATAACCTGGGCAGGCTTGAAACTATGAAGAGAACAGTGGTTAATGAGCCATAAGAACTTGACTCGGGCTCCTTGCTCGCTACTCGAATATGTCAAATCATCTGGCGATAGACCTCTTCGATTGTATTCAAGTAAATAAAAGCATAAATATAGACATGTATCTATTGAACCGGTATACGTTTTGCAGATAATTTTAAGAAAATATTATGCATTTACTATTTTATAACAGTTGCAGAGGTCAGTATTGCTACATTCCTCTCCTGAGATGTCCGAGGCTGTAGAAAAAATAGCAGAACAACAATATCGCTGCCTTGAATTGATTTCACCACAAATCCAAAATAAAAAAAATGTCGTTATTAAATAAGAGTCATAGAATAAACTACGTAGATTTTCAGGCATTGTTCTCATGTTTCTTAGGTGCGTTTTTTATTTCAATGCAAATATTTGTCATAAAATAACTGCAATTGATAAACATTTATGATTCTTTGAATTGTGTTGATCTCGATTTCTTGGTCGTTGTTTGATAGCGTGTTCTTACATGATGATGATGATGATGATGATGATGATGATTATTATTATTATTATTATTATTATTATTATTATTATTATTATTTATAAATCGGTGTTATTGGCTGGTAGACAATATCCCACACCCGAAGACAGAGGTCGCTACTGGGTAGCTACATGAACATGTTTCTTCTGCTTCAAAGAGAATGTGCGTTTCCAAACTTCAGGGACTATGCGCGTTTAGGATATATTGGAATTGCGAATATATTGGAATTGCTTGTTTCTAAAACGTACTTAATTTAAAAGATTGCTGTCCGGTGAATGCTAATTATGCATAGGTAAACGCTGTGTGAAACTATACGAGCTTAACCTCAAATAAAATAAATGCTGAAACGAATCGGGGGGTTTCCTTGCTGTGTCGCTTTTTTGAATACCGACAGACGATCTAACTGAACAGCTTGTCACTACTTCTTCATCCGCAAACGAAGAGCTGAGCTGTATTCATGAGAAATTGGAGTATTAGAAAATTAAATATGTTATTCCAGTTGGTTCGAGAAAATGAGTTTCAATTAGCGATATGCGATTGTAACTTGAAATGTATCCTCATTGATAGCTAAACATGTATTTTCACTGAGGATAGCGAATGTATAAATCTACTTTTTATGCTATTTACAGTTAATAAAATAAACACATTTTTGCAGATAGAGAGGCTAATTAAGGAATCGAGTAAATGCTTAATTTTTATTCCCCGGTGAAGGTAACTAGCTATCACAAAGTGTAAGCACTGGCAGATTTTATTTTTGCGTATTATTTTAAAATGAGGTAATTACTGTATAAATGTGAACAATAGTATAAAAGTTGAAGAAAATCACACTGGCCCTTGTAAAAGCTGGCGGACTGTTCAGCTGATTTGTTTTGCTTGCACTTGTATTAATGCAAGGTAGAGATAATATAAATAATAACGTATGATTGGTATTAGATAATACTGTAAATAAAATTGCACTATATCTGTTAAAATAACCTAAACGTGTTTCTCCTTTAAAATGAAAGTTTCTGAAAACCAGTAATAGCAGAAACTGCAACAAAAAATATAAAACAGTGATAAAAACACTTCACATTGCCTAGAGATATACATATAGAGAGAGGAATACTTTATATTTCCCCTGTTGAAAAATAAAGCCAGACACAGAACGTACAGGTACAGTATTTCAAAAACCTTCTAAATTGCTTGCATGGATGATGCTGCATGATGTTAACGAACGACTTCGAATTAAACTCAATTTAATCAAGGTCATTTTTATAATATATTCCCTTAATCAAATGACTTTAACATTTTTGGAAAAATGTGCCTTCTTCCATAACGATGCACTGTTTATATATGCTACCATTTCCCCGTAGTTTTATACAGGATGTATTAAGCATCCTCGGTTTTTTTTATCGGATCTAGGTTTACTGGTCAATAAGACGATTAAGTATTTCAGATAGAATATTATTGAGTACAAGCGGGCTTTTTAATAAACCTATAATATGTTCAGATATATCCGGAGTATCCACCCGGGAAGTCCCCTGGGAGGGCCTGTCCATCTGCAAAAGAGATATGCAAAGTTGATCTTTAAATCTTTTTAATGCAGGTTGAAGGAGCATGTCAAGGATCAAATTATATCTTCGATTATTTATTCGTAATCCATTGTATTCACACAAACATTAGAAAAGTGACCACAGCCGTAATGAAGTCAAAGCGTAAATTACAAAAAATTGCCACATCGCGCTAAAATAGATCCAGAAATCCCTGGTTCTGCAATAATTCAGAAAAAACTCTTCATTAATTTAGAATATTACAGCTAATAGTTTATTGTTGATACACTGTCGACTTGATAATTGAGAGAAAAAGAAGTAAACAGACATCTGCGCTAGCTGTCGAAATAAACGAAACAGCGTATAATTTAACACGTTATTATTCTTTGAATATGGTGTAATTTTCTGGATGTTTCTTTGATATGCAGGGTAAATAATTATGATTAAAACTAAGTAAGAGCTCTTAATAGTAAGTTGCTAAGTAAAGACAAAGTATCCTTTGGTAAATTATACAATAACACGTGTAATAATCAAAACCTACACAACATTTGTTGCAGTCTTTATCTGAGTCGGAGACTATTCTTTGCCAGTGGTGCCAATTAATGTATTACTGATGGTCCTGGACCCAGCAGAAAGCTATTTAATTCCTACTTGGTCTCTTGGCATCAGCAAATAGCTGACTATTTTACAATACACCAGGTAGTGAATACAGGTAGTGAGTATTCCTTTTAAAAACTCATACAATGCATGGGAGTACAGTATGTGTTTTGGGTCTGAGAGCATTTACAGGGTGGGTTGGGAGTGGTATAAGAGTGTGTGTCTTTGTGGACTGAAGGGGGTCACATGACTTTTTTCATCCTATTTGGTAGAGCTGCTTGACTTTTTCTGCTTTTGGTGATAGCCGTGACTCTACGAGCAGGCATTGATTGACAGATGCATACCAGAAAGCCCCTGTTTGCCTTTCACAGACTCCATATGATGGATTGTGATCTCCCAGGCCAGCTGGACACAGAGACCATGAATGCTGTAATTGGTCAGGTATGGAGTCAGCCATTTCTCAATACGTTGTCTTTCATATATTGTTCACTGCTGTGCAAAATCCTTCACATCTTAGATACAATCAGGAGTTGCACTATATGCTTTTATGGGGATCAATAATTTACACAAAACCTCCATTAGTTTTCTCTTACTTTAGTGCCTTTGATATTAATACAGATAAATATAAGTGAGACAAGAAGAAAACAACCTTGTCATTTAGCAATTTTTAATTTACATTGATCAGAGTTTTCAAGAACTTTATCACAACACCTGTGGGTAGAGTACAGTATATATGAGCAACCAATACACAGTGTTGTAGTAACTAATTCTCCACATATACTAATCATTTCTAATTGACTACTTTTCTTGTTATGTGTTCCTTTCTACACAAACATTAAGCTAGTAGTGTACAAGGCTACATTGATGTACTACAAAATTCAGATGAGGATTAAGTGTTAGCATTGTTCAAAAGAGCTATAATTGTGATAGCATTCTGACAATTTTTTTCTTCATGAAGAAGGAAAAACTCAGTGATAAGAGTAGACAATGTCAAATGTCTAAGACTTTTGCACAGCAGTCTATATTTTAGTATGTTAGAGGTTATATATGTATGTATACTATAAGTGTGAGTAGTCAGGGGTTGCAATAAATCCTATGACAGGAGCTTTCTGCTGTTAAGAGACTTGTGCTCTAGGAACACTCTCAGGTTTGACTGGGAATCTGGTTCCCCTGCTGTTTTCCTAGGTTTGTAATTTAAAGTGACCTTTGATAACATTTTTTTCACAGCCTGCTTGCACATAATGACAGTGCTTAATATAAGTGTGCCTGGAGGGTATAAATTGTGCACGTGCACATGTGTGAGGCTGAGAGTGTTTTCTGTTGATTGCCTGAAGATTAGAACCAACGCATGAATCTGAACTAAACTGTTTTTTTTATTCAGTACCGGGTCAACACAGAGTGTACGGTGCTCTCCATGCTCAGCTCCCCGTCTTCTTTTACTCCTCAGCAATGTGATGTTCGATTCGGCTCTGTAAATGTACCCATCCCCTGTCGTGGCACTACAGGGCTCTGTAAATGAGACACTGCCACAGTTATAAAAGTCCAGGTGCTTCACTACTGCTCCTAATGCAATCATGCAACAACAGCTGTAAGAGACAGGATTGTCTTGCTTTTCCATCAGGCGCCAGTGATATTATATACAGTATATATATATATGTGATTCCTTTTTGCCTTTTCTTTTAGATAACTATGCTAGGAATTCCCATGTTGTAAAGAATAATTATCAAGTTTCTCCCATTTGAGGCTTCTGGGTTATTTTGTCTCACTGTCTTGACAAAAGAAGGTTTCCTGTGGGTTTTGAATTTTTGCCACTATGGCTTTGTAGTGATCTGCTACTGAAATATCTTATCTTCCACCATTTCTTCTAAAATGGCAAAGTGTTATCTGGGCTTGTAGAGCTCTGAAGGCTGGCTATTAAACACTCCTTTAGAAACTCAATTGATATTAAAGCAAAATAACAGAAGATCACATAC